GGAGTTGCGGGAAGAGGTGGGGGGAGACACGGGGGAGGGGTGTTGGGACGGTGGAGGGGGGTCTGTGACCTGGGGGAGCGGGGGGGACTGATCCGGAGTCCGGAGCGCGGTCCAGCACTCCCGCGGCCGGGTATACCACAGTGATCGCCCCATTGGATTGACCCGGGGGCGGTGTAGGGAAGCATTCGGCAGGTCTGTAGGTCCACAAGTGGTCCTGTGTAGCCCAATTCTTCCATGTCAGCCTCCTGTTATCCTGCACTTCGGCTAGCTTGTGATTCAGGTCAATCCTTGTGCCGTGAAGGCCGCTATTGCTTTCAGCCTACTCTCTTGGTCGGGGGTTACGGCCAGCACGTCTACCAGCTTTTTTCTGACTTTCAACAAATTTGCCCCGATCACCTCCAGGATTTTTGCTTTGGCTTGGTGGAAGCCAAAGGTTGCATCTTGGTGCTCTGTCGCGCACCTCATCCACGGGATAACCATGAGGAGAGCAAGCCTCATGTGTTTGAACAGGTTAGTTCGGAGGGGTGCCCAGGTGGCAGGGAAGCTTCTCCTCTTTCCCAACAGGATGGGTGACATTTCGATGAAAAGTTGAAGCAGTGAGCTCGTGCCACATTGCGTCCCACCATTGCCACACCTGCACTGCCATGGGGCATGCCAACAGACAGTGTTCCAAGTCGGCCCGTGAAGGCTGAGCCTCGTCTCCGCATTGGGAACATATGGGGGACATGATACCTGCTTGTTCCAAGTTAGTGCGTGAGGATATCCAGTCTAGTGTTGGGAGACACCGGTGTATAATCGGCCACTGCAGTGCCCTGTGCGAAGTTGGCATTATGTGGGCGTACGAATCCCGCATCGAGATTGGACCACCGGTGTGGCGGTCTGCAGTCTGTGTGCCTGTTTGTACCCCCCTCGTACGGAGTACTGCCAGATTGGTGTGGGGTCCCGGTCTTTCCACTCCCATTCATCAGTGTCATATGCGGGCGCAGTAACCGAGGTGGTCATTTCGTAGGCAAAGTAGCCAGTATCGTCATTTCCCACCACCCTTACCCTAGTCAATTCATCCATGGGGAGCACATGGTCAAGATTCGGGTCCTTTTTTCAGGGTGGCCCACCGTGCTCCCGGAACATCCGGCTCATGTGCCTGGAGTT